ACTCTATATGACATCCCTCCATTCGGCTTAAATGGTATGATCTTTGCTGCAAAAGTTTTGTAGAGCATCTTGTAATTCCTTGAGTGCATTGTCTTTCTTCTTCAGTCGCTTCCCCAATAAATTCATCAATAAAATTTTAATAGTTTCTCCCTATAAGAAAAGTACTCTGAAGAATTTCAGCATGCACATATTGTTATCCTCAAGTTCTCAAAACACATTTTATCATCTTTTCCTTAAGTTAAATCCTAAGCGCGAGATTCTCTAGCCGAGATCCTAAGCGCGAGATTCTCTAGCCGAGATCTTTGTAGGACTCTTTGCAACACTTTGCAAGGAAAAGCAACTTTTAATACTACTCAGTTGATCAAGGTAAGCATGTACTTACGACAGACATTACTCACCTAAGCTTTATTAGTCTATTGCTTAAAAGAATATACCGCATTTTCGGTCAAATCCTTGTCCTCTTCGCCTGACAAGAAAACACATTGATCATAAATAATCTGAACCTTCTTGATAATCAATTTCTTGTAAAATATTTTCAATCAACCATTCAAGTCTAAATTCAAAGGTAAATGTGTGTTTATATATAATGGTTTTACTATCAAGATATGTGTTACCTTGTGGTGGCATATAAGAAAGCACTGGCGATGTCTTGGAATTATTGAAGCTACTGATCTTAACTTCCAAATCTCATGATATCTAACAAAACTTGATCAGTTCCATCTATTTCACGTGTTGACAATGACTGGAATTGAAGGAAGGAAGAACAAAATAAGTACTGCAAAATATGAAGAAAAGATAAACGAACAAAAGCGCATCTCTTCGCCTTCTTCCTCTTAAAAAACCCCAAAACATTAAAACTCTGTCGATTAATTTCAACCTTTCCACTTCTTCTCTCTTCATCACATATCGACATGGAATTCATTCGTAATTAGGAGGCCCAGCCAAACCTCGTAGCAACTTCGCGGTCAGTTGCCGTAGTAAGTTCTTCCCTCGTAGCAACTTCGCGGTCATCACTTCTCGCTCCTCTGTTATTGATGTTTTATTCTTCTTCGTTGTTTGTTTCTTTTGTGATATTTCAATGACTAGACTCACTTCATCTCGTTGCGTTGAAGATTCTCAGCCGTCCGATTCATGGATTTAACAGTGACTCAATTGATTTGTTGGTGGATTTTTTGCATTTGTGTATTTATCTGGTTTCTCCATTGTTGTATTCTTAGTTTTATATGTTATGTTGTTCTTCTTTATTAGGGTTTTGAGATTTATATAAGATTTTCGAGTTTAGGAGCCTAATTCATTTTCAAAATCTGTTCTTTAGTGTAAAGTTGGTTTCTTTTCCGTTGGAAATTTCAAATCTACTGTTGTCTTAGCTTCAACCAAAGAAGGTGGAAAAGAAAGAAAGTTATGTTTATTTGTTTTATGTCACAATTTTACACAGGAAAAAGAGGGTGAAGAGTAGGCCATAATGGAGGATTCTTCAATTAAGGAACTTAATGCAGCGACAAACAGTTTTAATTACGATAACAAACTTGGTGAAGATCGATTTGGGAGTGTGTATTAGGGTCAACTATGGATTGGTACTCAAGTAATTATCTTTAAACTTGCTTGATATATAGAATCATGTTCTTGCTGGGGACGCATTATATCGATTTAGTTCATATCACTTGGTTTATGTTAGTAGAAAATGTGCAGATTTGTCTCTTTGATATTCATTTGTAAAGAGTTTTCGTTTGTTTTTGTTTGCAGATTGCATTCAAGAGATTGAAGGCATGGAGTAGCAGAGAAGAGTTAGATTTTGATGTACAAGTCAAGATTCTAGCCCGTATTCGACATAAGAAACTATTGACTATACGAGGTTACTATGCAGAAGGACAAGAACGACTCATTATGTATGAGTCCCAAATTTGAGCTTCATCCCTCATCTTCATATCCGTATTCATCTAAGTCGCTTCTTGATTAGACCACGCGAATGAAAATCGCATATCAGATCAAGAAAATGTTGTATACCTGCATGGTTTCCATGTTGGTCTCAAGGGAATCTTTGTTGGTATACGAACTCATTATCACCTTTTGTATATGTTTAAAAGGAAGGAGTTCAGGTTCTACCTTATGTACTTGATTTCGTGTCGAGCAAGGAAGAAAAGTATTATATCCACATCCCACATTATGAGAAAGTAACCTGAACGACTTTCTTTCTAAGCATGCTCTCAGTAGTGTGTAGGCTAAACATTTGTATGGTTGTTTCTCAATGCAGTGTCAAGCATAGGTATGAAGGTCAGTAGAATGAAAAGGCTCGATAAACGACATGTGATCTACACACCAAAGGTGTAGTCACCAACACTGAGTCTCCTCAAGAGATCGAAGCAGGGAGCGAAATTATATTCACATATGATGTTAATTTCCAGAAAGATGAGGTGAAATGGGCGTCTAGATGGGACACTGATATGTTCCATATTTTACCTATTTTACTATCTATTTTACTATGTTTTCTATGCATTTATCTACTGTATTACGCTTTTAGAGGTAGTTTTCTTCGTATTTGTAGTTTTAGAGTCTTAATAAGGAATTCACTCAAAAATGAGCAAAAAGGACCACAAGAGGTGTAAACCAAGCTACTGCAACTTTCATAAGCCAAAGAAATCATCAAGACCAATGAATTCACAAGGTATCACAATCTACCAAGTTAGACATAGCATATATGCCAGAAGTTTAGCAATAAACCGAGAATCAAATCAGCTTGGAATTGGATGGAATGTAGTGAGAAGATAGATCTATAAGTTAACTTCACAATGGAGTTTAAATTATCTCATTTGGAGCTGTGAGCAGGAAGATACACCTGATTTAATGAAGACATGTCAAACTGCCTCAGAGCTGAAGCAAGCCAATATTGATCGTGTATCTTGACCGATATTGTGACCGATGTTTGGTGCAATTTCGACCTAAATGACTCTTTTGCCCTGAACTAAGTCCTAGAAGACCTTATACCTATATATACTCGTTTTTAGCCTTTTGTTAGGGTGTGCCGAAATATTTAGGTGATTTTTATCATAGAAGATCAGCCACCAGGAGCTCCCTTGGTGTTCTTCATTAGCTTTGGATTTTAGAGCACTTGGTGGATGATCTCGCTTTGTATCTCAATAT